ATCAAATTGACAATTATGGCTAATTGCCAGTTCAAACCGGCAATTATAGCTAAATGCCAGTTCAAACTGGCAAATATGGCTAAATGCCAGTTCAAACTGTAATTATGGTTAATTGCCAGTTCAAACTGGCAATTATAGCTGAATGCCAGTTCAAACCGGCAATTATAGCTAAATGCCAGTTCAAACTGGCAAATATGGCTAAATGCCAGTTCAAACTGGCAATTATGGCTAATTGCCAGTTCAAACTGGCGATTATAGCTGAATGCCATCAGTTCAAACTGGAAATTATGGCTAATTGCCAGATCAAACAGGCCGTCTTTGCCAAGAATTTATCCTTGCCCGAGGCGAAAATATTCCTTACTGACCCTCTCGTTCAACTTATGTGACTTCGCATTCTGTTCCTGCTGTTTCGTTATTTGTTGAATTTGGATATTAATTTTCCATAAAATAATGTTACACTATGACATGGTGTTTCTCGAGAAATAGGAAAGATAGAGTGAATCCGAAAAATGACTGTTGAAGAAAAATAAGGCTGAAGTGAAATTTAAATTCTAACTTGATATGGTAACTATTACACTCTACAGGGCATTACAAATTTCATGAAAAGAAAAACACGCTATAATTGCTGCACCCAGTATATATAAAAAGGAGGTTTCTATATGAAGACAGTTCGCACACCAAAGTTCAGATGGAGATAACCTGTCATTCAGAACAAAAATCGTCGAAATTAAAGAAGTAGGTATATAGTTTTGACGAAAATGAATCTCAAACTTTTGGTTTCATTTTGGTTGTGCGTTAATTTCTGAGAGAAGTTTATAAATATTCATTGTAAAATTGCAAAGACGCTAAGCGGAAATTGAATTCATAGGTTATCGTTCTTACAACCTCTCCTCCCGAATAATTTCTACTCATGCTTCTGAATTTCACATGAGCTTATACTTGACGAAATTTAGTCTCTGTCAGAATGTGTTCAAATCAGCTAGTGCCTATAGTGAACATTTGTTAAGGTTGAGGTGACCTATGAATGTATTTTCTATCAACAATACTGATAAATTTCCCTCATGAATAAAAGCTGAAAGTAAACGATAATAACTAGGCTGAATTTCGGGTGATTACAAATGAATTATACCTCGCAGACGCATTTAACATTGGTTATTAGAGAGAAAAAAACGGGATATTACCTGTACAATATTAAACACAAATTCCCTCCTCCTAATTCACTTAATAAGTCTGGTCAACATTCCCGTTCAATAAATATGAACGGATTCGGTCCAATGGATATTGTGCCTAAGGAAATCGAAACTTTCAGAACTATTGGGATAGGTCCGTAATGTTGATTCGTTCAGAGATGATCTTCAGCACGATCAATGTGAATACTGTCCAAATTGTTCAACTATCTCATATTTGACATGTTCGAGAAGTCTTAAATAATCTGAAATGATAGGGTGACTCCTCAAAATATGTTGGGCAATGCTTGATTCATCGAACCAATTATATCCGAAATGAGCGATCTGTTCTTTGAATCTTATGCTGATGATCTGAGAGATTTGTCCAATATATTTTATGTTGCAGTCATCACAATTCATCTCATGAATACTCGATTTTTCATCAGTATAATTATTACATCTTCTGGGTTACCTAGAAGTCTAGGAATGCTTTTTATCTATATAGAGTCCTTGTAACTTTTGCATCAAATAAACTCTTCACAAAAACTCTCATAAGCTGACATAACTTTTGAAGTGGTGGTTGGAAGAAGATTATTTCAATTCCTAGCATTTCCTAATATATTATTCATTACAGAAATCTCATCACCATTGTGAATCGCAATATTCGTAGCAATATAATTTAACTCGTTGGTATACCTCTCTTCAGATAGAAAAAAATAGAATAGAAAGGAATCTAGCGAAGTTAAAAACAAAAAAAAGTATATATATTATATACAAGTGATAATATCAATTTGAATTAAAATAGCACCATCAGTTGTCTACAAGTCATTGATCAACTCACTAAAGTGGTTGGTTTTGTAGAGACTAATTCCGACAAGAATCTTTGTCAGCGTATAGGGTGTAACTACTTTGTATACCATTACTCAATTATCACACAGGTCAAAAATGAAGAATAAATCATGGTTCGAGTTTTTCCACCACCATCAAGAAGGCTTTGAAACAATTTTCACACCTTTATTTTTTTCAAAGACAAATGCATTACCTACCAACAAATAAAAAAAATAAAAATCGGTCTACTATTTTTTTTTTTTGAGATGATAAGTCAAATATCAAGTGCGTCACTTTTTTTGGAACTGAGTGTAGTTTAGAAACGGCCATTATGTCCCACTGGTGACAACAGCAATGCCAATGAAACTCAACTTCTAATACTATACCATTAGCTTCTAACCAGTTTAGCATTTACCCTAACATTCAGTTTTGCCTGTATTCCAGTAATTTCTTCTGATTTCGTATCAAAAACTTGAGGAAAGATATGTTGAATTGTATGTTTATCATTCATTATTCCAAATTTTTTGGGATTTTCTCTCCTCGTTTCTTTGGACGTTTCGGGACCGATTGACAATGAAAACTGAAAAGCTTCAAGACATATACGACCTTACTATTGAAATAATCATTTCTTATGTTGGAAACGGGAGCAGAATCGGTCCCGAAACGTCCAAAGAAACGAGGAGAGAAAATCCCAAAAAATTTTGAATAATGAATGTACCTATTACCACCTCCTCGATCAACCTACAGACCAGTATAGTTATCATTGATTGTAGTACAAGGAGTTAAAGTGGAAATTCCGTCATTCAAATTGTAAATATCAATTTGCGTTATCCGTCCTAATTATTGGTTTGATATCTGAATCCACACAGATAAAAAGGATTTCTTGATTCAACCATATGGGCGCTCTTGAATAGGTCCAACCAAATATTTGTTTGATTTTTCTACAGAATTTTCTTGACTTATTAATATGAGGAAATCTTTATTCGACTTGATATTTCTTTATTATTACAGTTAGTATTAGTCGAAGAAAGAATTGATTAGTTTGAAACAAGAAGATTCTTCAATTGTTGAGTTAATCTCATGTTTGAACAATTTTGTTCTGAATCAAGGAATTTGAGGCTTGTTACTAATAGATAACATCTCATTATAATAAGTGGATATTATTTCACAAGATCCTTATTTTCTTGTGCCAAGAGAATACATTTTGAAGGAAATCAAAATATAGCTTACTATATTGTATTGAGTATCAAATAAAATTAATTCTCACAGTTGGTAATCAGAAGGCTTTATTATCAAAACTTGTTCATCCTATTTTGACATAACATAAATGAACACATGTATGATATGAATGAAAACATATACATATAGTAAAGGTATTAAACACCCCAGAATGTCACTGTGACTGAAATAGTTCGAATGTTGAACCACGAAAACCTAGAGAAGAGAGTGGAATCATCATTTAAAACATGTTTTACGTGAACTTGCTCCAGAAGAATGCTGAAAGAATGGGTATTGTGCAGGTTATACTTATACAGACATGGCTATATGCGTTGACAGTGATGTGTAGTTATGATTTGAGCTACGATTGATATCAAGGATCTTAGCATGTTACCGATGACATAAGAAGGGAAAACACCGCACTAGGTACAACTATGTTACAAAAATATACAAAGTTCTTACTCCCGCAGATTGTACTCAAATATGGAATGTCACATTGCTGTGAAGATGATACCAAGGACTCAGCACACTTGATTCTTGAACGCTTCACTATTGAAGAACAAAGGTGCTTTGTACCTTCAGAAGAAACAACAGCGGCAATGACGAATGGCGGCCAACGACTAAGGAGTCGAATGGGCGCAGGCGTTCCGCTGTATATACATTACTGCAAGTCTTTTAGACAAGCAGAGATTTTCTTGAACGAATATGATTTTGAATTAATGTCCCTTATAGTCGCGGTTTTCTTGAATGAAGAAATATACTGTTTATGTTGAGCAAATTCATATCAAGGAATTCCAAGAAACGGAGCAAGCAAGCCGATTGACTTGAGACAAGTGGATATTGATCCATTCAAATGAAAAATTCTTGTACGAAGCAATTTAATTTCAAGAATATGAATTTGTTCGATTTTTCGTCTTTTTTTTTATCTGTGCACGATATGAATTGAGTTCAAGATCATTATTTTGAAACTCGACCAAAATTGATGTATACCCAACCATATCTAGAACTGTTTTGAAATTGATCAACAATTCAACAGTGGTTTTTCGAAGACTAAAACTTTTTCTTATAACATTTATCTGCCAAGTGCTGATACGATCCACATCTGTAACATTGAAGATTATAATTTGGAGGGAATGGTGTATTCCTAGTCTGAAAATTAAAAAGAATTTTAGACTTGGATTGACCAATACGCGAGCTCTTCTGATCTTGAAGTTGAACATTCTGAACACTCTAAAGTTAGTTTTCGAGAGATTTGTACGAGCAAGGAAAGACGGGGGTCTTACCTTTCAACCTGTGATTCCAAACAATTTCTTAGGCCATCACAACAATTCTGCAGCAAGGAATAAAAAAACTGACGCTTCTCCACGTGGCTACTTGTATAACAATTGACTATTCGTTGTTATGTATATAAAAATATCCCAAATAACTATGATATCGAAAATGTTTTATTGATATATAATTGGTAGGTATGTTTCCACAAAATTAACCCACTTTACTTTCATTGTTACTACCATCAATACTAAAGCTGCCTAGACTCTGGATTTCTACTTCTGGTTGAAACACCAGTAGAAACACCAGATAATTCGTGTGCTCATCGGCGTCGGTATTAGCCTTGGTAGTAGGATGCAACTGAATTTATAGAAGTAAGAGAACAAACTAGATTACTAAGACTTGTGCTACTTTGGCGTCGAGGAATTTTTCGGCGTTCGATACATTTTGTAAGTTTTTTGTACGTTGTTTCCGAGGATACTCATCACATTTGATCGACCATGATTTGTAATGATTAGATGAAAATATCACAAAGCAGATTACCAGTAGATATAATATTTTCAATATTTTTATAACATTTTAATAATTACTTGTATCATTGTATGATGCAATGAGCAAATGTGTTAGTAATCAGTTGAGGAATATAATCATAGTGTGAATTTGATACAGTGTTATTTTTTTGGTGCCATAATACGAAATATTAATATCAATTTCACAATTATTGTTATTCCATTGATTCGGTATTTAACGGGTTTGGTTCAGCAGACTCATGAAAGAGAACGAGGCTCGAATCACCTGAAAGTAAAAAAGACTTATATGAGACGAATACTCAGCATCATTTCTGGAAGCCAGGATCAAAATGAGGTTGCTCAATATATCATGTCCACTTTATATATTTTTGACAAACCTAACATGATGGTTGAAGAATAATAACGTATAACTTCTCTGAATGAACACATTCACTCTGATTGCCCAAAATTTTTCAATCCTTTGAATTTTACCAAATAACTAAAATTTGTCATTATATTTCTTCTTACCTAGCTTTTTTTTGTGGATTCAAGACATCTAATATGTACAAATTGATTTCGTAAATATCTAAAAAACTTGATGAAACAGCCGTTTTAGCAAACATGTAGAATTTTTAAGCTATTGTGAATGTTGAAACTCTATTGGGAGTTGAAGGATATGGTTGACAAAAGAACTACTAGTGTTATATTCATCCAAGGAGGGTGCTGAATGTGGCTTTTTCTATGAATTTGGTATGCTCATTGACTCTGGATTGAATTCGTCTACCATTCTTGCTAATGTAATGGGAATTTTAATTACGATGTGAATAAGATAGTTAATATACACCTGGTTTATGGAAAGGGGGAATTTTATCCTCATTATGATATTAGACTGTTGGCCCGCGACACAGGGTTCATCGATGTTCTAAGTCGGTATGCCATTTAAGGGACCCACTCACATAGTCCAAGTTAACAGGAAGGAGTGCCTCGGAGAGTCGTAACCCAGTCCTTGCCCCGGCCCTGACCTCACCTTTCGGTTGGAAAAAAGTTCAAAACTTTGTTCAAGAAGAAGCTCGGCAATGAAGTGCAATGATCTTATCTCACGACAATTGGGGCGCTTGCTGGTTTGCATACGCCTAGGTCACTCCCCAAGGGAGGCATACGAACCGGAAGTGGCAATTTTTCAATGTTATAGTCGATGATCGAAGAATGTATGCCCTTTGGCGAAACAATGAATTCTGACCCATTAATCAGTTTTCCGACATTTGCATACGATTCCGGAGAGGGGAGCTCGACTTATTCGAACATCAATTGACTAGACATCTTTCAAATAATCGATAATTTAAGTTCGTATGCAAATCTCTAGACCGATAAACTAGGATATTCTTTATAACTGGATGCTATTTGCATACGAATTCAATGTGAGCATACGTTGTAATAATCGGGCAAATCCGCGCGTGCCTCGGTCTGGCGCGGCGCCCCGCACTGCAGGCACTGAAGACGCAAATTGCAGATATATTTTTTGTATTTATCCATCAGAGATTTACAGCCCAACAAAATTACATGTGTGAGAGGTTTAGTACCAAGACATTTTTTTCTGTGATTTTAATTTGAAAAACAGGGCTTTGAAAAGATGATGAAAAATTGACAACAAGATACTCGCATGATGATCAAGAGGGGTCGTACAGGAAGAAGAGGGGTGGATTATTGCTCATGATCTAAACTCTTCCTGGGGCTCATGGAACTGCTTATCATAATACTGGCGTCTGAAAAATATATAAAGAATGTACATTAAGTTTGTTGAATGATTTGGGTATAGTATGGGTCCTGAACTTTAATCTACATTTTTGTTTTTCACATAAAAAAAAATTTGAAAATGAGATTATATTAGATGAGAACAACATTATATTTCAAAGGAGAAATTATACTTCGTCCTCTCTATCATTATCTTCAGAGTCCTCTTCTCTCTCGCTGTCTGAAGATGATTCTCCAGAGCTGTCATCAGTACCTGTTAGTAAGATTATTATTTAATTACTGAAAAATCTTGGCATGATAGAAAGATATACCTGATACTTTCTTAGTTGAAGTCTCAGAGATTATGATATCACCTACCTCTGCTGAAAGAGCTTCACCAAGGTACCAATGGAAATCGTACCCAGAAAAAGTATCAAGGGCCCAGCCCCCTTCATTATTTCTCATGTAACTGACAATGACATAACTTCATCAAACCCAGTATAGTTGAGTTTAGCTATAAGATTCACACGCTGCACTTATATACAGGGTTACTGGTAATCCGATTCATCCACTGGTAGGGAAGGCAGTAAGAAGTGAATAAATCTGTCATATACATTATACAAAAGTAAATGGTTTTTGAGATATTTAAATATCGGATCTCCGACAAAAGGGAAAAACATTATTGAATGCCTACTAAATCATTACGTGCTACACTCTACCCGGCTGCTGCAGCAAATCATTGTTCAGATATGAAAATTGTTTCAGCAAAAAAAGGGAATACTTCAAACCCGGAATTCATATTTCTGGCATAATTTAACAATTTGGCGCATGATCGCTATAAGAGTGCTGCGTGTAAATGATATCGCTAGATGCTGTAGAGCTGTATTCGTCATAATAATCTCAACTCGATAGTGAGGTAAAGTATAGTGGTTCAGTAAAAAGAAATCAACAACTACCCAATAGTTCATTTGTTATGAACAGCCTGTGCATTTTTTTGATAACAATGAAAAATCTCTTAGGAAAATCATTTTAATTGGTTTTTGAAATTTTGAAATCGGTTCAGAAACAACTAAGTTACAATGGGAGATATTTATGGTGAAACACCCTGTACGGAATGTGCAAATTGTATGCAAACCATCATCTCATATATACTGTGTGGTCCACTAACCATGGTCAAAATTTGAACATTTCTTCGATTATCGATTATTTGAAGAATATCCAGTCAAATGATGTTCGAATAAGTCGAGCTCCCCCCTCCAGAATCGTATGCAAATGTCGGGAAACTGATTAATGGGTCCGAATTCATTGTTTCGCCAAAGGGCATACATTCTTCGATCATCGACTATAACACTGAAAAATTCCGACTTCCGGTCCGTATGCCGCCTTTGGGGAGTGACCTAGGCGTATGCAAACCGGCAAGCGCCCTAATTCTCGTGAGATAAGATCATTGCACTTCATTGCCGAGCTACAAAATTTTCAAATTTTTTCCAACCGAAAGGTGAGGTCAGGGCCGGGGCAAGGACTGGGTTGCGACTCTCCGAGGCACTTCTTATTGTTAACTCGGACTGAGTGAGTGGGTCCCTTGAATGGCATACCGACTTAGAACATCGATAAACCCTGTGTCGCGGGCCAACAGTCTATATTTGATCATTTTGATTGAAGTGTTGGAGATGACATTTATGAACTACACCACTCCGCTTTGAGTTACCATGGAATTCTTCCGAAGATTGATATTTACTTATTCTGCAAGCTTTCGCGTTCGATTGAGTTTGTTCAAAGAATTACATAAAAATCAATATTGGCTGCTACTATCTAGAAAAAGAATATCCCTGTATACAGAGTCTGAGAACTTCTTGTCTCAACTCGTGTTGACAATATTGAGATTACAGTTGTTATCTTTGAAACAATCAAAAACCAAAGTAATCCGCACATTACTGATTTTTTAAAGGTAAGTAACAACCCTAACCCTGCCTCCGCATGTTAAACAACCTGTATTTGAAAAAACTGTCCATCAGACCTCCTTGCGCCCATGCAGACATTTGATCAGGACATCATTTACTACATTATACCGAATTTTGTGCCGCAATTCGACTGAAACCCATTTTCCATAACAATTGGACGGGTAACAATTTCACTATACAGGCTGATTCACGGTGGATGGCACATTAGACAACGGATCATTTTGAAAATCCAATGGAGGGCATATTCGGACATTCTCTAGCCAACTAAAATATTTTTGACAATGCGGTGTTGCCGCTTCTATCGAAAAGTAGCAACAACTTTGTTATTTTGAATGGAACACCCTGTATTTTATTGCATTTTCAGATTCTCTCTGAAGAGTTGATTTCATCGATGTATCACACTTGGGGTCTAGCGGAAATGATTACAGAGATATAGGGTGTGAAAAATCGACATTTTTCAACTTTAGAATTTTTTTGTGTCGAAACTATCCATCATTGGTCAAAACGGCTTACTTGTCCCTATCTCAACTTTTGATTAACTATCTACTGATATTTAATTGGGACATATACCGGGTGATCAAGATTCTGAATTCTGTACCACCCTGTATTTGTTTCAATTAAATTCTAGTAGATAGTTGATCAAAAGTTGAGATAGGGACATGTGAGCCGTTTTGACCAATAATGAATAGTTTCGACAAAAAAAATTGCTAAAGTTGAAAAATGTCGATTTTTCACACCCTATATCTCTGTAATCATTTCCGTTAGACCCCAAGTATGATACATCGATGAAATCTGCTCTTCAGGGAGAATCTAAAAATGCAATAAAATACAGAGTGTTCCATTTGAAAAATCAAAGTTGCTACTGCTTTCTAATAGAAGCGGCAACACCGCATTGTCGAAAATATTTTAGTTGGCTAGAGAATGTCTGAATATGCCCTCCATTGAATTTTCAAAATGATCCGTTGTCTGGTTCACCAGAAACGTCTAATGTGCCATCCACCGTGAATCAGCCTGTATATAGGAGCCTGAAAACGACATTATATCTCATTTGATAAAGTATTTGAATTAAGATAATTTAATGAATTGGAAATGGAAAATTTCAAATGTTTACTAACTTCAGCTTTGTACGTTTCAGGAACAGATCTGCTACCTACCGTTTTCAACATAAACACAGAAAAAACTGCGAATTGTCTTTGTTCTTGTCAGTTGACACTCCAATGTGGCCTTGATACTTATCGATATACCTACTGTGTTTCATCTAATTCCTGACAATAATTTTTTTTTCCACTACTAGCTATAGAACCTACAATTATTTACTCCTATTGAAGGCGTAAAGTGTGTTTTTACTACCAATGTAGTTTTCGTCATTTTATTAACACTATTCAGTAAAGACGTAGCCACCTCTGTTGTAATTAACCCGAATTCACTCTTCTGATACCTCACCATATTCACAAGAATGGCACTCGAATCTAGTAGGTATTTATCAACTACTTTCATATGCTGTCATGATATAGATTCAAATTGAAATTGAAAAAAAGTGCATCATAGTGATAAAGGTCCACTGTTCAGTTCCACAGAACTATAAATATTGAAATATAAGTCATGGAAACCATCCATCCTTCTCAAAGTGGTACATATTTTTTCAAAGAAAAAACAAAATACACCAAGTCGATCGACCACAAAATTATATAACACAATTACTAGTGTGACTAGTTTCGGCTAAACAGCCATCTTCAGACACAAATTGAATAAAGTAACTGTAAGAGATGAAATTACAGACGAACAATAAGTTTGCTGAGGAAAAAACATACCTAGGCCATGTGGTGATTACGAATTCAGCAAATAAAAATTCAAGCGGTTATTTCAACGTGAATAATCAGTCCGGTATCGTAAGAGGGTGATTACATTTTTTTATAACGGCTGAACAGCCAAAAGAACCTTATAATCATGAGGTTCAACATTGGCACGAAAAAAATTAGTTATTCACTCAGTTGAGTGAATTTAAATAACTAATTTTTTCGTGCCAATGTTGAACCTCATGATTGTTCAGCCGTTATAAAAAAATTTAATCACCCCCTTACCGGACTGATTATTTACGTTGAAATAACCGCTTGAATTTTTATTTGTTGAATTTGTAATCACCACATGGCCTAGGTATGTTTTTTCCTCAACAAACTTATTGTTCGTCTGTAATTTCATCTCTTACAGGTACTTTATTCAATTTGTGTCTAAAGATGGCTGTTTAGTCGAAACTAGTCACACTAGTAATTGTGTAATATAATTTTGTGGTCGACCGACTTGGTGTATTTTGTTTTTCCTTCGATATTGAAATATATTGATAGTGATGAAAAAATTCGATATACACCTTGCTAGTAAAGAATATTATTACAACGGGACCTCATTACCCGCGGCTGAAGCGTCGGGATATAATCTCGGGCCATGGGTGAAAATGATATTCTTTACTACCTTGGTGTATAAATAACTATTTCTCTACCGTTTTGAGTAGCGCGAATGCTTCTTCATTTATCTTGAAATTATATTCATCGCCCACCTTACCTGAATGAAAAATTCGTTGTTGACGATACCGAAAGGCACGGCTTCCAAGGATATTGGTTTCTGTGTTCTCAGTAATATTAGAGTGATATCTCTTTGTGTTTCAAGATCAGCCATATACCATTTCGATTCTGAAATAGCTGCTCCAACAGATACAGTCTGTAATACACTTATAGTTACATATTTTACATATGAATAACTCACATTTTGAATTCATCATGTTGAAATAAATGCAGATATAAATATAAAATTTTCGATGACCTCATATCATCATATATTTCTATACAGCTTCAAAATAAGTGGAGTCCATGATAATAACAAAGAACGTGTAAAATAATCCAGGCCCTGATAACAATTCTGTAGGGAATGTAGTGTTCCTACCCAAAATTTTCTCGCCTGAAATCGGTAAAAACTCATTTTCCTTCGGATTCTTCTTTGGTATCTGATGCATATTCTTCCTGAATGACGTCATCAGATATGGCGTGCTAATCATTGAACCTTTTTCTTTATTATGAGTGCCATCATGTGAGTCATTTCCATTTCAGATAGGTATAGAGTGTAATATTGGATTATTCAGAATGTTTCAAAGTTCTCTTTTCCGTATTAAGACCATGTCTCAGTAGAATGGGTAACACCACTATGCGGGCGCGGATCTGGGAATATCTTTCAGGGGGTGGGGGGTTAAATAATCTTATCACTGAATCCTGAATCATTCGTTTATTTGAAAAATAACAAAAAACTCTTGAAACATAAAAATAAGAAAAAAAAACTTAAAAATCACATATAGGTTTATCTTGATTACTTAATCATAAACTCACATTTTCTTTGGTATGCGTTAGCAAATCTGTCTATAATTTTTTCGACGTCAAGATCATAGTCCCGATGAATATGCAAAAGAGCTAATCCATCTCGTAATCCATTCAATCTTTCTTGTCTCATTCGTGACCGCAGCCAAGTTTTTGAACGACGCAATGCCAAAAAGCTTGTTTCTGCGGTAGCAACACTTACTGGCATAGTACATAAAACTTTCAAAATCAATTTAATAGTCGGATAGATGTCATGATTTCATTTATTGAAAAGAACCAGAGCTGTATCTTTATTGATTTTATTTGTGTCAAATTTTTATCATGTAACACAATTAGGATGAAGGTGCTAAGATAAAGTTAAGAAATGGTTCAAAATTCAATTCCAAATGCATGAAAGTGAGAACGAAAATACAGGAACGTTGAAGAAATGAATTTTGAAAATTTCATGTTAATTCTTTCTCAAACATTTAAAGAATTAAATAAATGGTATGTTTCTCGGAGAGCGATAATTTATTCAGAAGGTACTTCAGGGTTATCAAATGAGCTATTCACATTTTTTCCTTCAATATTTCATGTAGTTTCAGGAATAATAAGCAGAGATCGAAGATTTCAATGTAAAGGGTGTCCTATTTCTGAGAGACCTTAGATTAGAATTCTCCAAGTCCAAACCTAGAATTTGGATACATTTGGTATCTGAGAAAGTCAACTTCGATTAGTAGACTAAGTGTGTTGAATGTCAGGAAAATCAATCAAATGATTGGAAAAATACAAGGTGAATCAATTATGAGTAAAAAAGTAAGACGACCCTGTTGAAATATTGAATTTGAAATATCTTGACTTTTCACACCCGATATTTTCGTAATCATTCCTGCTAGACCCCAATGTGTGATAGATCGGTATACATACAGAGCTTGTTCCATTCGAAATAACAAAGTTATTGCTACTTCTCGATAGGGGCAACGCCGAAACGCTGAAAATATTTTAGATTGATAAAACAGAACTGATTACATAAGAAAACTTATTTTCAAAATGATCCTATGTTCCGTTTTCCAGAAACGTTTTATAGGCCATCGAGTTAGGGACATCCTGTATATATATACACATACCTATTTATACAGAAACATGACGTTGACACGACGTCCCTGCAACGTCATGAATCTTACGTTATGTTCCACCCCTCCGAGTGACGTTTACTCAACGACGTAATGACAACGTAATTATCACGTCATAGTGACGTCAGAAATTTGTGTGTGACGTCTCTGACAGAAATCCACCAATTTAGTACGTGACAGTGACGTATCTATTCGTCATATGGCTGCCTGGGAATATACACTAGACTCATAAATAAATGTGTGTCAGTATAACAGCTTCGATCAGATTACACTTAGTATCTTGTGGCAAAAATATTCATATAATCACAAGGGACAAATCAAGGATATGTGTGTTCAATACTTACTTCCTCCATCAGCCTTGCACCTGAGTGACATATCAACATGAGTGCTACGGTCCATCCGGACCAGTATAGCACACCACAAATAGGTTGGATCTAGAATCATATCGTTCAATCAATTTATAAATTGAACTTATCAACTCACTTTCATCATTTGGCTTTCCAAACAACCTAAGTTTATTGCAGCAAGGAGGTAAACAAACCCCATCGTTGTTTTCACAAGATTCCTCAATCCCTCGGCGAGCCTAAAAGTTTGAAGAAATAATCAACAACAAAACGCTCGATGTCCAAAATTATTAGTCAAACATTTATACAATTTGCAGAAAATATTATCAATGATCATTTAAAGGGTTGAATAAAATTGAATAAAATGGTGTATGCGGCTTTGAAAACCGAGTAACCTATGCAAATTTTGTATTTTTACAAAACGGAATTTTCCAAATTATTATTCTAATATACCTACAACTATTTTCACCATTATTCTCAATGATTTTATTTTCGATTTTATCATATTCCTCAGCAATCCAACTTTCCCTTTTAGTGAACAAACAAATATAATTATTACCTAAACCATCGAAGTGATCAAAAATTATCCACGTACCAAAAGAAATTTGACTTCTGGTTCTGATAACGGACGGTTGCTAGTCACAATAAGGATGTCTCAATCTGGTAATTGCGTAACTGAAATTATTCATCGATAAGTGATACAAAAAATTGTTTTTCAGAAAAAAATATATTCCTCCAGTATGTGGGACTCATTGTGAATAGCTTTGACCACATCTCATTTATCCACGAGGTGAAATTAAATAACAATTTTAATTTCAACATTTCCGAAAAAATCAAATTCGACTTTTGAGTGAATGATAAATTGACATTCATCATACAGGGCGTGGAAAGAGATTCTGAATTGTGACTCTATCACGAATCTGCGATTAGAGGTCTATGCATGAAAATCACAAGTTTCCATCGTTCAAGTTTGAACCCCCTGATTGGGTATGAAAGTGTTGAAAAGGAATATTCTCAGATAAATTATGGACATTTAGATTGCACTTGTTCCGACCTGTTGAAATAGAATATATTATGTGAAAATATACAGGGTTTTCCATTTGAAAATGCAGATTTGCTGGCAAAAACAGAGTTGCTGGCATTTCCAGTAAAAGCGGAAGTCATCCATATTGTAATATGATCAAATATTGAATGGTTGCATGTATAACTGTATCAAATTCCATAAAAATCATTTATAAAAACCCTGTAGTAGGCACTGGCCATCATACTCAGCTCACAGTTCTACATGATAAAACTGAAATGTGTATATCAGATGAAAAGTTGAGAGGATTTTATTTCTTATTTTTCATGTTCTCCTTTCGGATGTTCTCCTTTCGGATGTTCATCAGATATAATTCAATGTTCGACGTGGAAAATAGCCAGGAAAGTAGTTGTTTTTTGTTGAATATTCAGAATGATATGTGCATATACATATTCTTGTCTGAAGGAGAATGCAAATTCTCAATTTCAGAAGATTTTTATTTTCAAACTCTTATCGTGTGTGTTCAATATAATTCAATGTTCGTCGTGGCATATAGCCAGGAAAGTAGTTGTTTTCTATTGAATAAACTGAAAAAGAGTTGATATTCTCATCACATAGAGAATGCGAATTCTCAATGCATTGCTTTATATAAATATACAGGGTGTTTCATAATTGAATGCTGATCCTAAAGGGCGATGATCCTTGGATGATTTTAAGGAGAGAAGTTCATATCAACATATGTCCTGAACCTCTTAGTTTTTGAGCTACAGGGTGTTGAAATCAGTAGAGTACAGCGTTTTTTCAAACTAAACATTCAATATCAAGTCTACGAGGACATCACTGGTAAAAGTAAAAGTTTGATTTTCGTCCCAAAACAAAATGTGTTTCCACTTATAGTGGGTGTCTACTGAATTACCAAAAACAATATCCAAGAACTGAAGGAACAAAATTCTTTGGTTTTTATTTTTTTACGCGAAAACGGTACGTTGTATGAAAGTAAGTCTTGGAACCAAATTTGCTCCAAAATGGATAAGAATTGAGAAAAAAATCTGGTTCTCAGAAAAATCAGTGGCGTACGATTGTTTTCTTCAAAAATTGTCAGTTCAAACCCCGTACGGACGCCACTGGTGAGAATTAAAAAATATCTTCCACGTAAAAAAATGCTCCTTAATAATGAGAAGGTGTATACAAAATATCATAACAATATCTAAGAGTGATAAAAAATTATGATGAAAAACTCATTTTTTTCTTGAAATTTCATCACCCTGTAGCTCAATAACTAAGAGGTTCAGGACATATGTTGATATGAACTTTTCTCTTTGAAATCATCCAAGGATTATCGCCCTCAAGGATCAGCATTCAATTATGAAACACCCTGTATATCCATTTTTGTATGTTCATAATTTATCTGAGAATATTCCTTTTCAACACTTTGTTTTTTTCGTTTATCTCAGGAAATACTCAGAATTCAAACATTTTCTCGGCGGCATATATTTAGTCACATGAATGCCTACTTTGCCCTAATTTAACCATCTTTGTATCTCCCATAGTTTCTGAGAACCAAATATTGGCTCACGAATATGAATTACCCAGGAAGGAAATTGAAATATTTCTGTATTGCATTCACGATCTGATCTTTGAACCTTGGAAGAAAAGAAAACTTGTTGTGGCAAGTTCGATTCTACTTTACTAAACTGATGATCCATCTCACTTTTGCTCTGTAAATCTATTAGAGAATATTTAGGATGCACTTCCAATTTCGTCCTCCGAAGCTTCTGCGCACTATATAAAGGCTATTCAAGTTATATGTATCGGCATGTATCGGTTACTTCTTTTTTATGTATATTCCAGAGGACTTTGTTATTCAGGATGACATCTAGATCTTTGATTTTTGTCTGTCCTATGAATGTCTTGCCTATCTACTCTGAGGGTCTTCAACTTGAGTTTTCTTTTTCTCGTGAAGGTTACTACGTTATAATTTGCACTATAGATATGTTTCTTCATTGAAAGTTTGTGAACATTCAATAGGAATTCAGTTTTGGCCAAGTGATTTCAACTTCATTATTCATATCGAGTTAGAGAATTCGCTGTTGAACACTATTTCTGGGCTTACCTAAGAATATGGTTATGATTTTGCACCCACGAAGCTAAACCATCTGGCCTGGTTTTGAATTTTCTTTCTTCAATTATTTTCTTGAAATGCTGTTTCAGCTGATGAATGTGGATAGAGATTATTTCCACAGCCTCCCATATGAGAAAATTAACACAGGCAGCAGGGATCACTGTCATTTCAGCAGCCACAATTTGGATGGAGATAATTATATACCGTAAGGAATTTTGGGGGAGGTCGAATGGCAGCCACATGGGGTAAACAGTATCACAGATAAGATTCAGGTCATGTTTTTCCTGAAGCTGATGACACTCTGAACTATCTATGTAGGACATTAAACAATACGTCGTGCTTCCAATCACGTAAAAAGTATCTGAAATCAGGAATGACTAGAATAAGTTATAATACGCAATAATAGGTAATAATGTTTCACACATTGCCAAGGAAGGTGTTCCCCGAGGCATATAACCTCCAGAAACTTGAGCTAACACCAATTCCTACCTCATTTTTCTTGGTTCTCACGATGTTCTCTGAACATTACAAGATTACCCCTTTTCGTGGGAACCAGAACATAAATAAAAGCCAACTTTCTCTAGTTGAATTCCGAATTGATCAATATGGAAAAATGTCAATAAAAAGATAATTATCTCGAAAGTACCTTTATAATTCACAAAATCATTGTTGGTTGTAATATTGTTTCTTCTCAATTTGAATCTTCAGAAACATGAGCACAAGAGACGATTAGGACAAAGATTTATGGTGATTGATATATACTCACAATATAATTTGCCAAGATAAATTGTCCGATCTATATGATATTTCAAATCAGGTGGTCCATATTCATTGAAGTCCAAGAGGGCTGTGAATAAATTGTGCCATTTTTTATGTATGGCAGCAAATTTTCCACCGATTATAATAAATACTGTTACTCCAAATATTAGTCCCACGTTTCGGCTTGTTTCCAATCCTCTTATTTCATCTACGAATGAATAAGTCATTTGAAACTGAAGTACTGACCTATTTATGAATGTCCATTTGGGAATCCTTTCTTACTTTTTAGTCAAAAATATCGGACCTTTTCCTTTTGCTTCTCTTCCCGCATCACATATATATACAGTATGACATCCTCAACTTTCTCTCGTTTATTACAATTCTTATAACCTCAGAAAAACAATTTTCTGATATATTCTGACAGTTGTATCGTACATCTTTATTGGGTAGATTTCCAAATTCATTGAGTGATCACTGATTTATCAGGCAAAAATTGTTTTTCAGGGGTCACAGAAGTGGCGATGAGAGAGTGAAAATAAAATATATGTTTGTGATCACAAAATATCACAGATTCCGAAAATAATAAACGAACAGTGGTTTGTCAGGTTTTTAGGAATCACTGTTATTGGCCGTGAAATGGCCTTATTATTTTCTCACTTATAATTAATTACACGAGAGCTCTTTTTTGACGAAGTCAACTTGACATTTTGATGATGATATTGTTGCCGAGTAAATTCATCTGGCAGTTTTATGAATAAAATTTTCCTTAAGGCAACAAAACACGAATCATAAATTTGAAGTTTACTTCGACCCAGAAAAAAATGTTCAAGGGTAATCCGGTAGGACGATTCAATGAATATGTATGAATCACACTATTGTTGGTGTAGATACTTTTCTGAGAACGCAAAATTGGGAAATATTTACATAAACGCCAAAAAATTTTATTCACAATTCTGGCTGTGATGGTTTAGAATGATGGGTTTTGTTTTGTCGCTGGAAAACTTGCCGGCTGCATATTTGGGTAATATTGCACTTATCATGCGATGTTTTTTTTTCGTTTTTTTTGTACTCACGTATTTTTGTCTGAAAAACACGAATTTGATAATGAAAATGTGAACAAACCATTATTTATTAAGATATTCCACTATAAAATTACAAATTTCACCTTTTTCTCCGCCTGTCTTCTGAATCGCATTTAGAACAATTTGCCCTTCTCTTTCCTTCATTGAAAAAATTTACATAATTAATTATATTACAAAGTACGACACATTTTTTCCTATTATATGAGTCAACTAGAAATATGATTTTATTGTGACTTATGACTTATCCATGTTTAGTGAAAAGTGAGAAGAATATAATTTGAAATAATGGCGTGTGTAATGTCATTCAAAAGCAATCTGTTGACTTTCGACATCTCGTATTTGGATTGACTATTGATTAAATCGCCTTCATCTGGTATGCTCGTTCACTAAATATGAAAAACTCTCCAAAAAAATCATAATTCGTGTTGAATTTTCTATATAAAAACGTGTCATTGAAGTACATCATGAGTATATAAAGTATTCAATGACAAAATGAAAAGAGCAAATAGCTGTAAATGCATTCAATACAAGGGGAAAAAGAAGGCAAAATTTCGAACTTTTTCTTGAAATATCTCGATAAATAGTGGTTTGTTCACGTTTTCATTATCAAAAACGTGTTTTTCAGACAAAAATACGTGAGTACCAAAACATTTTTTCGAAAAAAAATCCATCGCATGATAAGTGCAAAATTATCCATATTTCAACCGTCATCTGATAACGGAATGTTATATATTCTAAAGGCATGTAAAAACATTGTATTTTATGGAAGGGCACCTGTACCAATAACTAGTTCGAGCAAATTGATTGAAAAATTGCACTTTTCTGTGCTGTAATTTGCACTCAATTTCGCGATTGGATAATGAGATAAAATTGATGCCATCCGATACCGATTGAATGGTAGAAACCTACCTCTGCCACCCCTCAATCTGAGTCAAATTCATGGCACAGCGATTTATTTGCTGACATTATTCCGGACATACTTCCGTCATGTGATAACGAGTTGCAACAAAAATGCGAATATCCGAACGTGCCACGATTAAAAAGTGATTTAACTTAGTGGGAGAGCGTCAATATTTCCAAGAATATTCCGCCCTTTCCTAAAGATAATATCCGATATACTGTCTTCGATTCGAGATTCTTTGCCAAATCACAATAGAATTTGAATACAATTTGAAATGTTTTTATCAATAAAAACATTTCTCGAATGTATTCCAGGAAGATTAATGAACAGCTACAATATAAAGACAATTTGGTTTGAAAAAGACACGACATTGTGTGAAGAAAATTCGAAAATGATCTGACGGTAGTTGACGGTGACAGTTGCTGTCAAAGTATAGAAGTGTGCATGTTATTATTACAAATGGCTGATGGTGATTGGTCGGTTTTAGGAGATTGAAGAAATCGTTTTGGATCTTGGAATAGGCGTGTATTGATCGAGTTAACCTTTCTGAAGCCATCTGAAGCTAACGGATTATGTTAATAGTTGAGTGAGTGTATTGCTTTCATCATGGACTAACTAACTGCTGCAATGTTTGTGGATTATTTGAAAATCCGGACATTCGTTTTATTTCATGTACGAAAAGTGAAGTGATAACACCATTTAACTTTCTATACATCTATTTCTGGACACTCTTCGTTCCAAGAATACAGCATTTAATATATTTTTTTCTTACTTGTCGGATAGACTGAAGCTTTATGTATTTTTTGCATCCCTTGCTTCTTTGAATTCAATGTCAGTAAATGGATTGAATTTTCGGGTGTACTGTTCATAGTATTTTTCTTGAAGTAGTTTTGCAGTAACATTCCACACAGTTTGATTGAAGTTGATTGTCACCTTCTTTCCACAATGAAGAAGCTAAAGTACGCTCCGATTCAGTAGATTTTTGTATATTCATTCCATTTACCTTCATTTATCAATAGGTAGGTACTATACGTGAAAACTTTGGGATGCAGATAATAATCGATGTGATCATTGAAGAAGCCAAATGCCACTACGATCAGTAGAAAAATTTTAGTAAATTCCATTTACCTTCATTGATCATCACTATACGTAAAAATGTTGGGATGCAGATAATAATCGATGTGATCATTCTCAAAGGAATGCAGGTAGAATAAAACCAACTTTTGTCATGATGTTCCATGGATTTAGGATAACATTTGAAGACACATAAGAGTTTCAATGTATATTCAAATGGTTCACTGATCTTGAAATCAAACATATTCTTATTTATGAGCCACTAGCTTGGTCGATGGAGAAGGAATGTAATTCAATTTGAATACAGCTTCCTTCAGATTACTCAATATATCATTTGTATATTATCATTATTTGTGTGATAGGTGGGAACAAATTCCTATCTATCAGCTTGATTATTATCATTAGACAGTACCTAGTAATTAATGTGAATGTGAAGCAATAAGAAGTGAATAGATGTGGATATTAGTGAAATCTTCTACCAGCAAAATTATATTCTATTATTCAGTTGAACATTATCGAAAATATCCATATTGAGTATACCTTATAATAATAATATTGGTTCATCCACCAAGAAAATATAGGGAGGAGAAAGATGATTTTGTTGTGGGGCTTTAGAGAAGAAGAAAAATAAATAGGGTCATAGATGCGAGTATCTGCCTCCTCAGCTGAACCGCTTGACAGTGTTATCCAGTTATCAGTGCAGCCATAGACTTCGACTTTTCATATCCTCTTCACTTGTGAAGACAACAGAAAGAGCAATTTGAAAATCAGTTGGATTAAAAACTTGAGAATCCAGCGTTTGATTGGCTTTCCGAATTCAGAATTTAGAAAACCTATTTAATGTCTCATATCTATCACAGTTCTGTAGTTCTGTAGTGGATGTAGGAGGAGGGATGCATGTGCTCAACTTTTCCCTACATGCATCCCTCCTCCTACATCTATATTCTTCAATAGTTGTAATAGATATTGTTATATGCCTATGCTTATGGTCAGAATTTCATGTTTTATCCCTTGACATTGACTTTAACTTATGTCAACGTCTTGCCCATGTCATTATTTGACATTATTTTCTGTGTTTTCTAACCAAATTAGTTTAGATTTAAACACGTGCTGGCTATTTGCCCCATCAATTTCATTGATATTTTCTTTGAGTAGCGTTTTCATAAGGGCACGGGGAACCCCTTTTTTTAAAAAACCTGTTTATTTATGGTGTTGTCAAAAACGAAACTTTTTGGCAATATTCTTCATATACCATTCTGGTATATGGAATTTT